ACACAGAGTGGAAAAAATGTAACCAACTCTGTGTTCAATGTAACAATGAGCGACACATTTCACTGTTATTTGAATTTGTTTGGGGAAAGATGGAGCATGAGAACGATAGGCGGATTGGTGCAGCGTCTGCAGTGATGCGGGCGTTGTACCGATCTGTCGTGGTGAAGAGAGAGCTGAGCAAGAGTGCGTAGCTCTCAATTTACCAGTCAATCTACGTTCCTACCCTCACCATATGGTCATTTGGGTAGTAACCAAAAGAACGAGATCACAGGTACAAGTGGCCGAAATTAGATTTCTCCGCATGATTTTCCCCCTCATGATTTTTATCTTGAGAGGTGCTATGTGAAATATTGTTTTCTTTCTTTCTCTCAACAAGAAAAAACAAAAAATGAACTTGTTTGTGATGAGGGGAGACGGGTGAAGAAAGGAATCATTAAGATTCACCAGTAAAAGATTTAAAGCTTTCAGGTACATTTTGTATTCCAAGTACTACTTGCATTTAATTTCAATTCATTCAGCCCTCAATTTTAGAATGAATGCATTCTGGTGAAATGCACAAATGTATAACAAAACTTAAAAGTGTGGTTCACTCATTTAATCAATAGATTTGCAGTGTCTCTAGTAGAAATGAACGCCTTGTGAAGTTGTACTCTGGGTACAAAATGCCCAGGTGTGCCCGTTTCAGGATCTAGAAAAATTTCCAGGTCAGAGTTGAGCTTCAGACGACAGGAATTGGAGTCTTACTTCCTGATATTTGGACAACTCTTCTCTGATTGGATAACAGCAACACAAATTTACCACTCTTTTTGCTCTGCAACATGGATGTTTTATCTCCACAAAAAGGAGTTTGCTGCTGTGGTGAGTTGCTAACGCTAACAGTTAGCTTCTACTAGCAACATGTTCTCTGCCGTTTCCTGGATGCTACAACAGCAGCAGCCTTTCCGTCGTGAGTCTAGATGAGTGAGTCCGTGAACGTTAAGTGGCAGTGTGACGTAGATCTGTCAGGCCTTGTGAATCCTAGATTTTCACCATCTATTTATGTGGTTTCCCCAAGAAAATTTTCCAATCATGGTACGCAGCGTCACACCTGAGCCTATATAGGGGAAACACTGTATTTTCTAACAGAAGCTAATGCAGGAGATAGGTGTAGCAGACTATTTTCATGTTCAGTCCGCATGAAAAACTCAGAGAAACCAATATTAATCAGAAATAATAAATAAAAAATGTTTTCAGTGAACTACGCCTTTAATATTCTTTTAAATGATATTGTGCCTAAAATGGACAATATTCATAGTTTTGGATATTTCAAGTGATTGGATTTTACCATGCATTCCATAATCAAGCAGCTGTTAAAGTCAAATGTGTTTAAAGGAGTATTTAAAGGGACTTTATGGACTTTTGAATTTTTATACTCGCGATTGCCCCCTCAGGCCAAAAGCGTAACGGCAGCATCAATAGTAGGCTCGTGCACGAGGCGTGCATGCTGTACGTGCACACTCCTTAACGAAAATAACAGCTGAGAAAGTCCCGTGTGTGTGTGTGTGTGGGGGGGGGGGGGGGGGGCGGAGGACAGAGGACAGGAGAACGTACAGCTAATTAATTAAATAATTTGGTTCTGTACCTTTCTCTTCAGCACAGCCGACAAAGGTTTATGATGGGTCAGTCCTGCATGCTCAGATCATTCCCTTCCCTTGCTTGAAAATTTGTTCCAAAATGAAAATTGAACCCACATCTTTTTTTATCTGTGAATTCAATGCCGTTCGGCGAGTCTCAAATAAAAATTTGGGCATCTTACTGTAAAAAAAAAAATATACCATCAATGTAAAAAAGAAACTCTAAATAAACTATGATCACACCCAGAATCGAACACAGGTCTTCTGCATGAGAGTCAGACATCTTACAAGGTGAGCTACTCTCTAGTAACATTCATAGCATCTGTAACTTTTATATCCTTGATGACAGCTGAAACAACGTCAAACCAAAGAACGGTTTGGAGCAAAAATGGCTATTTTGTTGCTAATTTGCAGGAAATATCTAGAAGAAAGTTCTACAGAAAGAAGCTAAGGGACCTCAGAAATGTAGCTAGGTTCATCACTAGGCGTTAGGAACAGCGACAAAGTCGCTGAGTTGGCACTACCCCTCTCTCTTCTGCTAAAGCTACTGATAGCAAAAGCTACGGGCGATGCCTGAGCGTGAACGTGCATGAAGCAGCCTGCTCGACCCGAGCAGCTCTCTTTTTCTGTGATTTTACAGAAAAACAGGCAATCACAGTAAAAATGCCAGGGCTCATTCTACAAGACCAGGGCATTGCAGGAGAATGTATGAAGAAGAAATTTATTATTTCTATACATGTTTTGGTTGTCAAACTTCCATAATGTCCCTTTAAATGAGACACGAGGTTGATGCTTGTCAGTTGAATCATTTGTTAAAACAAATTCTCTTCTGCGTAGAAAAACCATTAACCTCTTTGTGTTAGCTTATGGGACTGACTGGAACTAGTAAAGCTATACCTGCTGATGAGGGGAAGAATTCAAATTCAATCTGCAAATGTTTTCTTTGATGCTGAAAGCTTGGCACTAGTCACTGGAGCTGGTTACTGGGACATATGGCTGCTGCTCATGGGGGGCGGTGGATTTGTGTCTTTGGTGAAAAATGTTTAGCATCACTAAACATCCAAGTTTGTCACATTAAACCAGAATCAGCACCAGCAGCCTAGCAGGTAAAAAACAATACGTACGGCCCCACTGAGAGCTTACAATCCGATTCTGTCTGAAATTAGAGGCATTTCAAGAGGGTTATTTAATTATGCAGGCACAGCAAGAACCAGGGACCAGGAGGAACTGCTGAGGGGAATAATGAGAGGGATCCATGAGCAGGTCCTTTATGTGCATAATGCTTATTGTGTTGTTTTAAATTAGCCAAGAGTGTTTAACCCTTGGCAGTTCCTTAAAAAAAGCTACACTGGGGACCCTCGCACAAAAAAAATGCATTTTAGCTAAATGTATAATAAAAAATATTTCAAGTCAAAAATGTTTTCACAGATTCTTTCATTAGATCTTCCAATTGAGTGTTTTTGAGATTTAACCCCTTTAGTGCCATGTTTTGTCAAAAAAAAATCAACAGTATAAAAAAACTAAAAAACTACATTTTGTGTGTGTTGTGTCCACATCACTTCTTTTGGGGCTGAATTGTGAGGGATTTGGAGAGTCACAAATGAGCAAAAACATACTTTTTGTTTTCTCTGTATTTTTTGTATGGTGTCAGGTATTCAGAAAAAACTCACATTCAGGTCCCTTGCACAGGAAAATACATTTTAGCAAAATGTATAATAAAAATTATATATTTCAAAAGTCAAACATTTTTTTACACAGATTCTTTCCTTAGCTTCAGTCCTCACAAAACATAATAAAATATCCATCCATCCACTTTCATCCGCTTATCTGGAGTCGGGTTGTGGGGGCAGTAGCCTAAGTCGAGAGGCCCAGACTTCCATCTCCCCAGCCACTTGGGCCAGCTCCTCCGGGAGAATCCCAAGGCGTTCCCTGGCCAGGTGAGAGACATCATCCCTCCACCGTGTCCTGGGTCTTCCTTTAGGTTTCCTCCCAGTTGGACGTGCCCAGAAAACCTCACCAGGGAGGCATCCAAGAGGCATCCTGACCAGATGCCCAAGCCACCTCAACTGGCTCCTCTCAATGTGGAGGAGCATCGGGTCTACTCTCGAGCCCCTCCCGAATGACCAAGCTTCTCACCCTATCTTTAAGGGAGAGCCCAGCCACTCTTCGGAGAAAACTCATTTTGGCCGCTTGTATCTGCGATCTCGTTCTTTTGGTCACTACCCAAAGCTCATGACCATAGGTGAGGGTAAGAACGTAGATCGACCGGTAAATCGAGAGCTTCGCCTTCTGACTCAGCTCTCTCTTCACCACGACAGACCGGTACAATACCCGCATCACTGCAGATGCAGCACCAATCCGCCTATCGATCTCACGCTCCAGTTTTCCCTCACTCGTGAACAAGACCCAGAGATACTTAAACTCCTCCACTTTGGGCAGGACCTCATCCCTGACCCGCATTTTATTATGAAGGCATTCTACCCTTTTCCGAATCAAGACCATGGTCTCAGATTTAGAGGAGCTGATTCTCATCCAAGCTGCTTCACACTCGGCTGCGAACCGCTCCAGCGAAAGATGAAGATCACGTTCTGATGAAGCAACAGGACCACATCACATAATAAAATATGTGAGTGTTTTTGAGATTTAACCCCTTAAGTGCTATGTTTTGTCAAAAAACTCTACTTAATAAAAAATTATAACCTAAATGATTTTTTTGTGTGTTATGGCCAGATTACTTCTATTGGGGGTGAATTGTGAGGACTCTAGAGTCACAAATGAGCAAAAAAATTATTTTTTGTTTTTTTCTGTATTTTATGTGTAGTGTCAGATATTAAAAAACTCACATTTGGGTCCCTCACACAGAAAAATGCATTTCAGCAAAATGTATAATAAAATGTATATAATATTTCAAACGTCAATTTTTTTTTTACACAGATTCTTTCCTTAGCTTCAGTTCTCACCAAACATAATAACATATTTGAGTGTTTGAGATTTAACCCCTTTAGCGCTAACTTTTGTCCAAAAAAATCACCTTTATAAAAAATTAAAATCTAAAATCATTTTTCGTGTTTTATGTCCAGAGGACTTCTTTAGGGGGTGAATTGTGAGAGCTCTAGAGCAGCCTTTCTCAAATGGGGGTACGCGTACCCCTGGGGGTACGTAAAGAAACTCCGGGGGTACGTGAGAAAATGTACATTCATTTAAAAAAAAATAGTATCCATGGAAAAACTTTTAAAAAATAATTATTTAATAAATATTTTAGGAAAATATAAGTAAAAGTTCAAAAAATGTGTTTTATATTCAGTAGAAGTAGGCTAAATTCATTATCCCAAAATCCCAGAGTCCTCCCCCCCAATGCTTTTGCGCTCATTAGGGGGTACTCGGCTGAAAAAAATATTTCAAAGGGGGTACATCAGTCAAAAAAGGTTGAGTACCACTGCTCTAGAGAGTCATAAATGAGCAAAAAAATATTTTTTGTTTTCTCTTTCTCCCGATAATCAGGAAAAACTTACATCCAGGTCCCTCGCACAGAAAAATGCTCAAACAATTTTAGTCATTTGACAGTTTATTGGAACAAAGTGTGTGTGTGTGTGTGTGTGTGTGTGTGTGTATGTGTGCGTGTGTGTGTGTGTGTGCGTGTGTGTGCGTGTGCGCATGCAGTTTGCCCCGCTTGTTGATATCAGAAACTGCGCTGATCCTGCTGCTGTGTATTTCTTTGTATACACATTAAATCCAACTTTTGCTGTAAAAACTGCATTTAAAATTATGGAAATGCTATTTTTCTCTGCAGGGGTGTGTGTGTGTGTGTGTGTGTGTGTGTGTGTGTGTGTGTGTGTGTGTGTGTGTGTGTGTGTGTGTGTGTGTGTGTGTGTGTGTGTGTGTGTGTGTGTGTGTGTGTGTGTGTGTTCGTTTTCATCTCTCTAGTCTGTTTAGATACACAAAAATGATCACATGTATCAATTGCGGTGTTTTAATTCTGAAAATGTTATTTTATTTTGTTAAAATTCACCAGCCTGCCTCTTCTGCCTTGGTTTGACTTCCTGCCAGAATTGACGTGGCTCACGAACAACATAGAGCTCACGCCGAAACAATGGCTGCACGGCATGAGCCTTCGTGGCGCTTCGCAGCTGATGTGACCGAGAGCGTACGTTAACAAAGGCGCCGATTAGAAGCGCTCATTGTTCCCCAGCGCTTTGCGGCGCATCGTCGCGCTTCCGCGTCTGGTGTGTTCCAGGTGTTACCTGCTAATGTCTAGGATTAGGAGATTCTGAATTCTGGCTGTGGAGTGTCCAACTGAGAAAAAAAAATACATGTTTTTGCTTTTTCCACAGGGGTCATTAGTAGCCACTGCATTTTGCCCTCATTCTGACATCTTTACTTGCAATGATGTTTGAAAACAACACGTGTGTGAGAGTTTAGATCTCAGAAAGGCTCCATAAGAGCTATCTTACAATGCAGGATGTGACAAAATAATGCTTTTAACCATTTGTCTGTCAATGACATTGTTTTTACAATGTTGCAATAGAAACACAAACTTGATCAATTGCCCAGCCCTGTGACTGAATTGTTAGTCAGTAACCTGCCAGTCATAAATGCGTTTAGACTGAATTATTTTTGCTTAATCTCAGTTGTATTGTTATGAATTTGTATTCTGTTAGCGACTTTGTGATATGTGGTGATAAAGCCTTGAGGCTAATTCTGGCACATCTGTATGGATGTTTGCTGAATTTTTGCATAAAATCTTTGTTAAATTAACCAATAAACTAAACTAATGAGAAATGTATCTGTAACTGCAGCGATGAGGGGATGGATTTTGACATAAACAAAGAGTCCTGCAGAAATCTGACAGACGCTGACAACCACGGGCAACAGCCTTCTGTTAATGCACTTTATACGACATTTGGACCTAAATTACGACAACAAACGGATACAAATGAGTTATAAATACAAAATACACCAATTATCATAGCCAGCCTGAACAGAGCCTGAAGCAGCCAGCACTGACAGCTAGCTAAAGCTAACATCGTACGATTAACATCCATGTTTTCAGTCGTACGGGCTCGTTCACGCGGAGCACGCCGCCGCCCTAACACAAACAACAACGTTAAAATCAACAACATCTGCCAACATCTGTATAGTTCAGTGACACTGCAGCAGGAAGAGCAGGAGGGCAGCGTTAGCGACTTTAGCATCGCTAGCTTGCTGGTACCCCCCACCTACCCCGCCACCGGTGGTTCTGCAGGGGGAATCGAAGTTCCCGTGAATACCCGGTTAAGTCCTTCAGCCACCCAAAGGACAACCAGCAACCGTACTGTGAGCGCGGATATCGGCTTGTGAATGCGTGGAGTTCACGGTGCATACCTCAGGATGGAGAATAGGGACGCAGCCAGCTTCTTTCTCATATTCCTCCATAGCGTCGGCCATCTTGGTGGTAATGCTCGCTGAGCATTATGGGAAGCAAGAAGCAGCGCGGGGGGGGGGGGGGGGGGGGGGGGGGGGGGGACACGGTCTGTCAGACAGGTGATCAAACGCACAAGTCAGACGATGGAAACAGAGCTTCAAAAGGACATCTTTTAGGAATGTTGTAAAGTCTTCGTGGTGTCCTTATCTCACATGTGGGGACAATTTAGAGTCTCCAAACAGCCTGACATCATCATCATCATCATCATCATCATCATCAATTTTATTGCACTTTCTAGCTCATGTCAGTCAGCCTCAAAGTGCTTAACACAACAGTTACAAACAAATTACAAATACAACAAAACACACAAAATCAAAATGACCATAACTACAACTACAAGTACAGTAGTATGTGTTTACAGATGCAACCTACAAAAACACCTGTAGACCTTTCTTGCAGAAAGATGACGTTCTCAATAATTTCTGAGTCCATTTTAAAAGAGCAAGAGCATTATTCTCGATTAATGTGACTGTTTTTGATGTTGCTCTTGCTGCCCTGTTTTAGCATGAGGTGTGATCCTCATCAGCATATGCAGAAAATTAGTTCCATTTTTTATATTTGTTTTGCATTTGCTACTGCCTTCTTTGTCAGGTCTCTCTTGAAAAATAGATTTTAACATCACATGGACTTTTCCCATGTTAAATAAAGGATTTAATACAAAAGGATGATCAGTTTAAATGACAGGTTTTCTTTTATTCAGCAGTCATTCCGTTAAAAAAACTGTTTACAATCTGAAAATTGTTACTCACAGTTTATAAGTTAAATCAAGTAAGCAAAGAAAAATGGGTCAGATTACTAGGAAGCCTGGAAAAATGAACGTGATCCCTAAAATATCTAGTTGCTAGAAAAGAAAGTATAAAAAATGAAGACTGGATCAATTTAAAGTTCGATTTTAAAATGAATTATTACTAAAAATGCATTTTCTGTTGTTTGAGTGAACGTCTTGTATTTGCTACAGTTTACTAGCCTAGAAATCTAGACAGACTGTAGCAGAAGCAAAATGATTTTGCTCTGCAGGTCGTCTAACCACGCTCCATTGGACCCTCAGTTGGAAGTATTGCGTCTGGCCATCACAGTCCTCTATCAGTTTGGTGGGCCAATCATAGCGCTTTGTCGATTTGGTTGGCCAATCATAGCCCTCTGCTGGTTCAGTGGGCCAATCAGAGCCCTCTATCAGTTTGGTGGGCCAATCAGAGCCCTTTGTCTGTTTGGTGAGTGAGACTTTTCTGCGACTGAGCGGAACAACTAATTCAATTCAACTTCATTTACTAACTAAGATTAAGGCGACTCATTAGAAACAGATTTGGTATTTACTTTGGACTATTTAGACTTGGGGTGTTTTTCACTTCAAGGAACCTTGCCTTGATACCTTGGTCCCACTGCGGTTGCCTAGGAGATACATCATCAAGAACCACCAAGGCATGTTCCAAGGTTCATGTGCTACCAAGGCGTCTGTTCTCTGTTTGTTAGCCGTTTAGCTAGCTGACCAAGGACATAGGGGAGGTGTCTTGTAGCCTGGCCTTGGTCAAAATTTCCCTTCAGAGTACAGCGCAGTATTTTCAAAAGGATGGCGGCTCAGGAGCCGGTAGGTAGGTAATTCAGGGGCAAATTTCCAGTTTAAATGTAAGTTAAAGAATTAGCTATCGGGCTGATATCTCAAATATTTTTTAGACCCGAAGCAGTTAGCTATGGTTGTGTAGTAGCTTAGTTGTTACAGCTTTGGTAGTGAGCAGGTAGTAACTCGCTTACATATTTAATTTAAGCAACATATACAAGATTTTTACATGTAAAAGGCTCTTAATACATTTATATTGAAACTTATACATATAAATTATAACTTTACCTCATGTGTCACGTCACGTGACCACGGCTTGCAGAGCCACAGTCACGCGAGGTAAGTCTGTTCCATTTAATCGTTTTCTTTGACCAAGGAAGGACAGTGTCCTCATAAGCAAGGCGCCTGACCTAGCAAGACATCGCCTTGCTAGGTCAGGCGCCTTGACGTTGAGAAACACCCATGGGCTTTGCTTTAAATCAAGAGCAGATAGTCTTTTACTTCAAAAAAAGATGTATTTGTATCTTCTTCAACAGTGCATGGTAGACTGCCCCCGCTAACTGACATCCAATAGCAGGGGCAGTACCTAAAGTTGTTTGTTGTCCAGTAGCATGTGGAGACAGTTTAACAGGCAACCGCAGATCCTGATCCACAACAGAGCTTTGTCTATGGGTCGTGGGCCATACTATATAGTCACATATTAAGGATGGCTTGCCAGGCTAACAGTTTAACCCTTTAAGGCCTGGAATAATATACCACAATACGTCTTTAATGGAAATATTTACTGTCACCAGAAGGCAGTAGACGTGCATAGGACTGGTGACAAATGACTGATGAAAGCACTAATCCTAATACTTCATCTGGGTGCTGGTTAGAAGGATTTGATGCTACTTTGAGAATGTCCGCGAGGAGATAGGATAGCAGAGAAGATATCACACAGGAATGCTACACTTGTGTTGACAAGTTGATTGTTTTCTTTCAGAAAAATTCAGTCCAATAAAAGTTCTGTCCTAAAACCAACAGGTTCAGAAGCAAAAAAATGCACTAAAACAAATGAAAACAACAACAACAAACAAGTATCATCACTGAACTTTACAAAATCTGTGATAACTGAACCAATACCAAACATAATGAACATGAACAACAACAACCACCAGATTAACTGAAAAATTCATCTGAGACTTTTACAAAGATGAAAAATCTGTAATCTCAGCTTTGAAAAACCGCAGAGTTTCAGCAGCAAATATTTCACCACTTTTCAGAACATCGTGACTCAACTTCCTCATCACGACACTTCACTTCTTGGCAAATGAAGAGCAGGAAAAACAGGCCAATTCCTGTAAAATTACTGTTAGTTCTTCAACAGGTGGGTAAAGAATCCAGTCATGAAAGAAAGAATGCCACAGACCTTCTGAAAAAAAAAAAGAAATAAAAAACGGAAACAGCACTCAAATATTGAGCAGAACAGATCTCCACTTTGTGTAAAGTTGTAAATGGTAAATGGCCTGTATTTGATATAGCACCTTCTAGAGTCCTGGAACCCCCCAAGGCACTTTACAACACAATCAGTCATTCACCCATTCATACAAACATTCACACGCTGGTGGGGATGAGCTACGATGTAGCCACAGCTGCCCTGGGACACACAGACAGAGGCGAGGTTGCCGAGCACTGGCGCCACCGGTCCCTCTGACCACCACCAGCAGGCAAGGTGGGTTAATTGTCTTGGCCAAAGACACAACGACAGCGACAGACTGTGGGGCTTGAATCTGCAACTTTCTGATTACAGGGCAAGCACTTAACTCCTGTGCCACCGTTGTGACCAAATTAGCCCATGCATTGTAGCTTTTATTAATTTATCCCTACAATCTGGCTCTGTACCATCTGTTTTCAAACATGCAGTTATTGAACCTATCCTTAAAAAAACTAGTTTGGACTCATCTCAGCCCAAAAATTGCAGACCCATTTCTAAATTACCATTTATCTCTAAAACACTGGAAAAAGTTGTGGCAGATCAACTGATTACTTTTCTGGAACTACACAACCATTTTGACAAATTCCAGTCTGGTTTTCGTAAAAAGCATTCAACAAAAACAGCTTTGCATGAAGTTTCCAGTGACATCACAACACATTCTCACACTCAAAGCATCAAAATATGACGCGTGTGACCAAGCCTCAATATATGACGATTTGGGATGCCCCAGCACGTCAGGAGACGACGATCAGGGACACGCAGGGACACGTGGCTCCGCTGGCGTCAGTGTTTGATGCCCGCGGTCACACGGACATTATTCGACTATTTAACCTTCCCCTCATCCCAATCCTACCCTTAAGGTCAGTAACTGTGACCTTAAGGTAAGGATTGGGGTGAGGGGAAGGTTAAGTAGTTCACAAGTCGTTCTAATGTCCGTCTCACCACCAGCGTCGGATACCGACGCTCTGGGATGGTGCGTCATCATTGTGTCCCTGATTGTCGTCTCCTGACGCGCTGGGGTATCCCAAATCGTCATATATAGAGGCTTGGTCACATGTGTCAAATTTTGTCGCTTTGGGTGTGAGGACATCATGATGGCTGCAGACAACGGGGAGTCCTCAGTGTTAGTGTTGTTAGATCTTTCTGCAGCGTTTGACACTGTTGATCACAACACCTTAAATAACAGACTTCGTGACTCAGTGGGGATCTCTGGAACTGTTCTAGACTGGTTTAGATCGTACTTTTCTAACCGAAGTTACAGTGTCTGTATAAACCAAATCATGTCAGATTCTACCGATCTGTTCTGTGGGGTACCCCAGGGCTCTGATTTGGGTCCACTCTTGTTTCTACTGTACATACACCCTCTTGGACAGATAATTGATTCTTTTCTTAATGTCTCTTATCACCTGCAGATGATATTCAGCTGTACTTCTCCTTTAAGGATTCTGAGTTCTATAAACTGTCTGAATTACTAGTGTCTTTCAGCTATCACCTAGCTAGAAGATAACTTCCTTCAGTTCAACTCTGAAAAGACTGGTAATTGCCCCTGAGAGCATGTTCCCCTGATTAGTCTAAACTTGTTCATTTATCTTCTGCCATCAAAACGAACTTAAGGAATTTGTGTGTTGTTTTTGACCAATCAATGTCTCTTGAAGGCTACTCAAAAACATTGGTCCGAAACTGTTTTTATCACTTAAGAAATATCTCCAAACTGCGAAGGTTGGTGTCAAAACATAAACTTGAAATGGTCATCCATGCCTTCATCTTCTCCCGTCTAGATTACTGTCACACTCTTCACGTTTTAACAAAAAAGTGCTTCATTGCCTTCAGTTAGTCCAGAACTCTGCAGTGAGGGTCCTAACTGGAGCAAACAGAAGAGCACACATCACTCCTATTCTAATGTCTCTGCACTGGTTACCCATTAACTTTAAAGTTAAGTTTAGAAT